CTATGGGCTCCATCAGGACTTGGGTCTCGGGGATACAGCGAAGAACAGAGCAAAGTCTGTGGCTTGCCCTCACAGGCCTCCCACTCTGGTGGATCTGTGCTCACCCTTCAAGATGCAAGAACCTTCACCCTCCCTGGCTCCCCTGGAGATAGGTGTGCTGCTCACACTCTGCTGTAATGCCTGGTGTGTGTAGTCCTCTGCATGTGTGCCTGATTTGCTCAATTTATTCTTCTCTGATTCATGTGTATCATCTGGCCCAGATGGTCACTTTATGAAGGCAGGTGTGTTGCTTCTTCCACCGCCATATTCTGAGCCTATCAGCCTGTCCTTGACTGCTGTAGCTGGTTGGTTGTGCCTGATTGCAAGCTTTCTGCTACAAGTACTTGCATTTCTTTTCAATATATTTTTAGCCAAAAGGTGGCACTGCAGGAGAATCCGTAAATAGAGCTTCAAACTATCTGATCCAAGTCACCGAATCTGATCCGCCAGCCCTAGTTGTAAGCTAATGTTCATAACTAGAAGAAACTGATCCCGAAACTTGTACACATTCACATGCATGCACATGTTCAAAATGCATACTTATTAATTAATAGACATCTAATAGTGCATAGGAAAATAGAATTTTCTTATTTCAGCAGGTGGAGGTGAAGAAAAATGTATGTCTTTTTTTATATACTAACTTACTTTAAAGTGCTGTATTTTACACTAGATTATTCCTCAATATTCCAATTCTCTTATGTAAAAGTCTTACAAAATTTGGTAAGCCTTTCTGGACAGCATGTTGTTCAAATCAGTTGCCTCTTCAAAGCCTTTCAGGAGAAAATACATAACAACAGCTAGACAGCCCCAGATAAAAATCTGCTCATGATGTCTGCTGTAAATAATGAATGGTGGTTCCCATATTTCAGTGTCAGCCACCTGGGTGCCTGTAGTGCCCAAGGCAAGTTACCAACTTCAACAGAACGCCCTCCCCACAAATTCCTCATCAATGCCTTTATGTGTTTCCCTTACAAAAAACAAATATAATTGCTCATGCTTCTTTATTTTCATATGAGATTTTTCTTATCTCATTGTGTGTGAGCACATACACACACACACAGAGGCTTTGTGTAATGAAGCATCAAGTAGAATACAACTTATCTGGGAAAAATATTGCTTTATATCCTTCTTTATATATGAAATGTAGCCCATGCCCTCAGAGCCTACCATCTAGTTGGAAAAATAAGGCACACATACATCAGCTAGCTGATTTGTCAAGATTCGTCAACAATAGACACAAAGCTGAAGTTTGTTTCAGATCCAGGATGCATAGGATCACTTCACAAATTGGAGTTCAGGCTGTAGTAATAGTTTTATGCAGATCCAGCAGACAGATTACATCTAAAATATAGATATCAGAGGCAGAGAATTTCATCGTAGATTGCTCAGGCAAAGATTGTAGGGGGCGTAATTTCTTTTGCCGACCAGACTCTATGTGTCCTATAAATTAGTAGAAGTTGTCTCCGTCTTCTAAATGTGAGGATCTTGAAAATACTGTTGCAAACATTAAATTGATAGTTCACAAATTTTCTTCAATCATAGAATATTAGAGTTGTCCCTTGGTATCATCAGAGATTCATTCTAGGACCCCCTGTGGATGCCAAAATCTGCAGATGCTCAAGTCTTCCTACATAAAGAGCATAGTGTTTGCATATAACCTACATATCATCTGTAAGTGACTTATACAAGATAAACACTATGTAAATAGTTGTTGTATGGCTTAGGAAATAAGGACAAAATTTGTACATGTTCAATACAGTTGTAAATTTTTTTTCAAATATTTTTGATTCAAGGATGCAGAACCTGTGGATAGAGAGGGCTGACTGTACAAGCAAGAGTAGGGCTTCCAAACTTCCGAATAAATGTGGTACCTCTGACACAATGATCATTATGAATGAAAACACAGGATTGTACATATCTGAATATACTCTGCTCATATGAAGGAAAATGATGTCCCCAGTACCAACAGAGATCTTCCTTGGGTTGGCGAGAAGTAGCACATCCTCCAGAGGCTGGATGGCGCCAATGGATTTTGGCAGATTTCCCTGGAGGAAGAAAATGCCAAGTTGACAACCTTTATATTCCCTTCGGGACATATTGTTTTCTAAGTCACCAACTGAGATAATAACGCAGCCGCCGTGAGATCTTTCAAAGGAAGCTAAGAATGTATCCAAGACCACAGCAGGCACAGGGCTAAATCTGACACGGGACTGAAAAAGGTTTTTACCTTTACCTTTGTCTATGGACTGTGGCAGGGAAATTAGTATATGGAACAATGATGGCATTTTTGAATGATTTCATGAAGCAATGCAATGGTAAGCTTAGTTCAGAAAAAGAGTTGAAAACCATACTAGGCACAAAATGACCCATTTCTTTTATAACTAAAATTTCAGATGCTTAAGAACAATTTTATTACTCCATTGAACACAGTTTTGAAACCTATGTGGGTGCCAGCATATCTTCCTGAGTTTGAGAGCCCTTCATTGTATCTTGGCATAACAGTTTGATACATGTACCACCAGATGCATGGACGGCAAAAAATTTTTACATCAACATAATCTTATCTTTTAACTCCATTGCCCATGAACTTCTGGGCGCTACCTCTTAGCAGCAACAGTAGCAAGAATACTATCTGCCAATAGGCACTGAATGGGAATTCCGTATCTAGCATTTATCTAAGCACTCTATAAAGGGTCTAGCTCTATGTAGCATGCCATATTCCTTAGGTCTTATTAATTTCCTGATTTATAAAAGAAGAAATCAAGTCATTAAACGTCACCATAATGAATGAAAAAGCCTTCATAGAGTGGTGTTTAAGGTATTACTTGTGCTAAGCATGTAGTCATTTGCTCTAGGTACCCACCACATATAAAAATAATATTTCTGGTAGTGTTTTATGTAGGTGAATTTCTCCTCAAAGCCTTTTCTAATGCATCTATTTTTTTTCCTTTCAGATGTTGGGTGAGATCATGCACAGGTTAGGGATAATGGTTACAGAGCAAGCCAGACTCCTAAAGCACTGTGATCAGTAGTCTGGTGGGCTGGCGAGCACTTAACAAACAAGCCTGTCCAGTCACCAGATCCCGCTCCTCAGGGTGCGGAAAACTTATGGTGAAATAGTGGTTGCACAAACAATGCCGCTGGCTGTGGATATGTATTTCAACTGCAGTATGAAAATACAGCTCCAGAAAGGTGGATTTGGTTTGTCAATGCTGGTTTTAAAACCAATGGAACGTTTTTGGCGGTCTGACTTGTGAATGAGGACTGCGGTTCTCTACTCTGACTGCATACCTCAGGGGCTCTGGAGAGCTTTAAAAGAATTACAGGTGTGGGAGCCCAACCCAGACCAATTAAACCTGGCTCTCTGAAAGTGTAGAGAATGAGTCTCTGGATTTGTTAAAAAGCTCCCATGCGTCTGCAACATGTAGCCAGGGTGGCAAACCCTATATTAGATATCGTCTGAACAACTGAAACTAACCTGAGTGTACATGTTGCAAGTCTCAGAACTGCAATATAGCTGTTAGAATCTCTAGAAAACGAAACAGCCCAATTGGTTGGTCACATTGTGGCAGAGAAAGGAAGAAATATATTTGTTAAGACCACTGATCTACTGAAATTCTTCTATCTTCTATCTTAGATGTCCAAAATGGTCATTTTGAAGAAATCTTGGTTGTTGCTAATATGGAGAGCATATCTAGAATATGGGGGAAAATCAGAGGAAACAGGATTCATATGATGACACCTTATAATTTCAGAGTGTTCTTTGTCTTTTGAGTCTCAAGAATGAAGGGGGGAGGAGCAATCAAAATTAGTGGTAGATTTATATCAGGGTTTGTCAAAACACAACACCCCCACCTTCACCCCCTGAAGCTGGCAATGTCTAGCCAATAATTTAAGTTCTACCACAATTTACTGCACATCAAAAAAGGGATGGCCACAAAAGCAGTCAAAGTGACTGAAAGAGCCAACCCCTGTTAAGACAGACAGCCAAGGTCTCTCTGCGTGGCCCGCTCCACCCCTTGCCACCAACACCAGCCCAGCAGGCAGGAGCAGGGCGGAGGTCACACGCCCCTTGATGAGCTCTGAACAGTGCTCTCTCAGGAGCGTGAGTTCCTGTGTCCTGGTCCCCAGGGATGCCTGATCATGCCCAGCAAATCTCCCCCACTTCTCAGGATAATCGGGAAACCAGAGGTCGGAGGCGCACTGGAGTCTCCCAGCTGGAATAGCGTATCTCTACACGTTGTCTAGAAAAAAAGCAAGAGGGAGGTTCTTGGGCGATGAAGAGCATAGTCTCAATACCAGCTACTCTTTTCCGTAGAGCTGGACAAGCAAGGAGCAAACTGGAATTGAAACCGAGAGCTTCCCAAGATGCACAGGAAGATGCCCATCTCAACTTCAGACCCCGTTCTAGGAAAGACCTGGAATTCCCCAGAGCCTATTAGGAACAGAAACCTCCTGAGGTTAGATATTGCCTAGGTCAATGGTCCAGATGAATTCTGGCTCTCAGGTGTTCATCAACGTTAGCGTTGGACCCCGCAGAAGTGACAGTCCACAAAGTTGTTCAAGCTTCTAGCTGATCCCTCTCCTCCTGCCGGGCCGCTGCGTTTTCCAACGGCTTTTAAACGATTTCCTCGTACGGGGAAGCTCAGGGCCACGTCGAGTGCAGAGGTCGCCAAGATGCTCCACCAGAATTGACTGGAGTGCGCCCACAGCCTTGGGCCTCCGGGAGCTAGAGGCGCCAGAGCAAGCACGAGCGAACGTGCCCAGCCCACCTGGCTGACCAGGCCTGGCCCCCGCCTGCCGGCGTCGGGCGCCGACGGGGGCTCGCCCTCCGCGCCTTAATGCAATGCGCCAGCTTCCCGAGCAGTGCAGGGGCGGGCTCCGCGCGCGCCTCCGCGGTGCCGCCGTCCCATTGGCCAGGGGACACGCCCGTCGGCGAGGGAGGGCTTTGAAAGTTTCATTGAAGGTGGAGAAGTGCTCGCCCGCCGGGGAGCTCCCGCTGCGCCGCTAGGGCGAGGCTGCTCCGCGGCGGGCGTGGGGCGCGCGGGGCTCCCGGACGGCGCCTGGTTTTCTGTTCTTTTTGGAACTCTGGCAGTGAAGAAGAGTTGGAGTCCGAGCCACTCGTTAGGTGCTTTCGCCTCGATTCCTCCGAGCGGACCCACGCGAGCCCCACGGTGTCTGGGATGGTTCTGCGCTCCCGGCCGCTAGAGCCCGGGTCTCTCCGGCAGGAAGCTGGGGGGCGCAGAGGCTGAGCTGCGCCGCCTCTCGAGGATCCGCCGCGGGCTGCTCGGGGACCAAGGGCTGCAGGGTGAGAGTGGGGCATTTCTGCGAGCCCGGGCCGAGGGCTGCGCGTGGCAGAAGGGCTGGAGCCCGGCGACCGAGACACGTTGGCTTCGGAGAAGGTTCCGCGTCGAGAACTCCCCGGCCGCTACTGAACTGCGCCCCAGGAGCCGGGCTAGGGGACAGCGCTCTCCCGTCGCCCCGCTACCGCGGCGCGCAGCGCGCAGGACCCTCGCAAACTGTCCCCCTCCACCGCCCCTGCCCCTGCCCCCTGAAGAAACTGCCGCCGCCGCCGCCGAATTCGGGATTCTGCATTGCACTGGCCGGCCGCAGAGGGTCGGGCGCCTGCCTAGGTGGCTGCCAAGAGCCTGGTGAGCGGCTGCCCAGAGCCCGGCGGGCTAGGGGCGGCCGAGAGTCCAAGGAGAGCGCCCTCGGGGCACAGAGCGAAGCGGCTCGCGCCCAGATCATGCCCGGGAGGCTGCGAGCCGCCAGCGGCAGGAGGCCCTAGGCGGGCATGGACCTGGCGTCCCGGCCCTAGGGACCCTCGAGCCTCCCAGCTCTGCTCGGACTCGCCGGACCGACGCAATGGCCTCGGAGGTGGTGTGTGGGCTTGTCTTCAGGCTGCTGCTGCCTATCTGCCTGGCAGTAGGTGAGTCTCGTCAGCTCACCTACCCAGGTTACTTGGGGAGGGAGAGGGAGGCGTTTGGGTGGGGCGTCTATCAAAGTTGAGGGCATTTGCACTACGGGATTCGGTTCAGGAAACCGGCTGCGTGGTCCCGGTACCAGAGGCGTCCTAAGCGCGCTGTCTAGGGCGCTACGGCCAGCCCCTCTCAATTCCCGCCCTGGGGCGCACCATCAGGGTCTCTCGGTCATCGGGTCACTGAGTCCAGTGACCGAGATCCGCATGTGCAGGGGCCTGTTGGGTTGAATTTGGTCACACGTGGTTTTTTTTTTTTTTTTTTTTTTTTTTCCGTGGAGTACTCACTTGTGCACCAAGGTACACAATAGAATTGGACTGGAGCCCCCTCCCCCAGGCTCGGGGGTTGCACAGTGCGGGGCGCATCCGGAAGGCACTTAGGCCATCTCTCTTCCAACCCATATCCCAGAAATGGAGAAGGAAGAAAAGGGATAGGGGCGACGAGGTGAGGTGCAAGGACACAGTGCCTCGAGTTCCTTAACCTTCTACTTCCACAAAAGCCCCTACGACCACGGAGCTGGACGCCCAGGGTGTAGACCCAGTCCTGCCCTCCTGGCCCTGCTCTTTCCAGATTTTAAAAGGTTTGAAAAGCAAGGCTCGAGCTCGCTGAGACTGTCCAGGGTGAAGGGAGGGTCACCCCCTAGACGCCCAGACAAGCATCCCATTATTTCTATCGGGCTGGCAGCGGGCTCAAAGGCACAGGGGTCAGCTCTGCAGACAGCGGCAGCGTTTTTGGAGTGGGAGGATTTCCAAGTTTCTCCTTAAATACACAGTGCAAATTTGCATGGAATCCCACTCCAAAGAACGACCGAGCGCGTGCCTGCCTTTCGCTCTCCCCTACCAGAAAACAGACCGCTGTCTGCCAAGGCGCGATTGCATCTTGAAAGAGCGCGAGGCCTTCGCAGAAGAGGCCCCCTTTCTGCGTCTTCACCAGAGGTGGAAGAGTCAGGACCACACCTGCGCTCTGCGTTCTGTCTCTGCCAAGAAAGGGGCGAGTGTGTGGGGGTCCACGCCAGTCGTCGTGAGGTTTTCGTTGTCTGCTATGTGCCGCTTAGTTGAGCGCAGCTCTTGCAAGAAACCTGAGGAGAGCCAGGGAAGGCTCTCTGGGTGGACTTGAGCCTTGGGGACGCGGGGTCCCCAGGCAGCGGGAGGGGACCTCCACTTCGAGTCCAGGCAGGAGCGTTTTGCGCGGCCCTTTGTTGTTCCTTCCTAACCCCAGTGTAGATGAAGGGCGCACCTTCAGCCAAGCTCATGGGGAATGGATGAGGGGAAGGGCTCTTCAGGGGCGCTACACGCGGGGGAGCGGGGAATATCGCTGTCAGCCGTCATGCCTGCGCCCCAAGCGCCTGGCACACTCAGTATCTGCATGAGGATAGGAAGGGAGTACCTGCCTGAGTGTGCAGCAGTGTGCCCGGCCACTCGGTGGTCGCCGGTGCCAGCGGGGGAGGAGGCCTGCCTAGCGGCGCTCTACTCAGAAGCCCCCTGTCCCCCACTCCCTCCGCGCTCCGAACAGTCCCACCCGCCACTTCCTGTCCCGCTTTCTGCTGGGGCCAAAGCTCCAGAGTCTGCTCTGGGACTTGGCACGCCCAGCCCAGTGAGAGGAGAGCGGGGGCTGATCTCTGACCCTGCTGCGCCCTGAGCTTGAGCCCCCGCGGGACTCCGCTCAGCTGCCCCCATCACCCCTTGGCTGCTGGGGCCAGGCGGTGGTGTTCCGACTTCCTGAGGGTGCTCCAGGCCCCAGGCCTTTTAGGGGGACTTGAGCTCTGGGCTGCGGAACGGAGCTCTGGTGCGAGGCGCAGGGGAGGGGCTGCTTGGAAGTTTCCAGGCAGCTCAGGAGGGTGCAGCAGCCATTACCTGGAGACGGTCCGACCTAGACCTCTCTCCCTCACTACCCTGCTCACCACCTGCAGACTTGAACCCCAGGGTGGACTAGGATTAAGGATGCCTGGCTGATTTGGGTGGAGCTGGAGTGGTCCCCCGCTTCCTGAGAGGCCCCATCCTGCTCCCTCCCGGGCAGCTGAGGGGCCCAGAGGTTTGGGAGGCTGCCTTCTCTGATCCTGTTCTTTATCTGGACCCCCACAGCTCCCTGGGCACAGCTAGGCTGGCCTCTGTGTGTGTGTGTGCCAGTGTGTTATGAGTGTGAGTATGTGATATATGGGTGTGAGTGTAAGAATGTGTTGTATATATATGTGTGAGTGTGTGTGCATCCTTATGTGCACGTTTTGAGAGTATGTGACTATGCAAATTTGTTATATGTTTGGGTGGGAGTGTTTGTAGGTATGCCTTGTGTGCATGGGTGTGTGCATGTGAGTATGAGAGTATGTGTGCATGCCATTGTGTTCTGAGTATGTGTGGGAGTGTGAGTTTGTATGAGTGTGTAAGTTTGAGTGTGAGTGTGACCATGAGGGTGAGAGGTGGTAGTGCCCCCAGATCAGCCTACATAGCCTGTTGCCTCTCTTCACCATCGTGGGCACCTGGCTCCCTCAGGGCTGTCGAGGCAGGGGACTGGCTCCTGGCTGGAATGCCGCCTTCTCCTCGCTGTACCTAGAGAGGGCTGCTTGGACATCTCCTGATTTGAGCGTTTGATTCTCTCCCGCATTAAGTGGAGGTTTTCAAGGTTATTGTGGGGTTTTCAGGTCTGCCTGCTCCCAAGGTGCTGCTAAATCAAATATTCAGATTTCCCTAATGCCCTGGGCATGGAGAGTGCAGTGGTGTGCTTGCCATTAGAATCGGTTTTACATTTCAGCCATCTATTTTTATATCTGGGCAAGGCAACCTTCAAAGCTAGACCTTTGTGGGAGCTTCTATTTTCCTCTAAACCCATTTCTCTAACACTGATGTTGAGTTTCTCCTGCACAGAGATGTGCTAGCCTTCTCACCTAGTGATAGATGATAAAAATTAACTGCCATTGTGTAAAACCTGACACTTAAGACTTTTTTCTTTTTCTCCATGAGGGAAATTAAATGGGAAGTGATAAGTGAAATTGAGCCTCCTGTATGCAGGTGTTACATGATTCTTGGGTGTTAAAAAGCAAAATAAAACCACACAAAGTGAACATCCAGTGACAAATACACCTAGCACCACAGATGCTGAATATTTTTAAAAAAGGAATTTGTTTATCTGAAAGTCGGAATTTCAGGGGGAGAGAGGAAGAGAGAGAGAGAGAGAGAGAGAGATTGCACCCATTGATTCACTGCCCAAAATGCTGCAACAGACAGGGCTGCTCTGTACTAGGTGGAAGCCAGGAGCCAAGAGCTTCATCAGGTCTCTCACATGGGTAGTAAGGACCCAAGCACTCAAGCCATCTTCTGCAGCCTTCTCAGATATATTAGCAAGGAGCTGGATCAGAAGTGGAGCAGCTGGGACTCAAACCAGCACCCGTATGAGATGCCATTGCTGCAGTCAGTGACTGACTCTACTGCATCACAGTGCCTGCCCCCACAATGAACATTTTAAATATATCCAAAGTTATCATTATCTGTGACTCTTGGTAACCATCTGATTTATTTAATTACGCACAGCATATAAAAAAGCCAAAAGCTCCCATAATACCATGCAATCTATTTAATATCTGAGACTGTTGAACACTTTTCAAATATTTTCACATTTTTTTCTCCTTTTCAAAAATATTTATTTTCATCTACTCGAAAGGTAGAAAAACACAGAAAGGGAGGGAGAGAGAGTGAGAGCCAGAGAGAAGAGAGAGTTCTTCCATCTGCTGATTCACTACTCAAATACCTCAACAGTCAGGGTTGGGCCATGGCAAAGCCAGGAGCCTGACATTCCATCTGGATATCCCACATGGGCATCAGGGACCGCAGGCACTTGAGCCATCACCTGCTGCCTCCCAGGATACATTAGCAGGAAGCTGGATCGGAATTGGAGCAGCTGGGATTCAAAATGGCACTCCGATATGGGATATGGGCAGACAAAGTGGCAGCTCAAACCACTTCACCCCAGTGTGTAACCCACATTTATTTTATTGTTAAAGATTTATTTATTTATTTGAAAGGCAGAGTTACAGAGAGGCAGAGGCAGACAGAGAGAGGTCTTCCATCCACTGGTTCACTTCCCAAATAGCTGCAACAGCTGGAGCTGGGCTGATCTGAAGTAAGAGCTGCTTCTGGGTCTCCCACGAGGGTGCAGGGGCCCAAGGACCTGGGCCATCTTCTACTGCTTTCCCAGGCCATAGCAGAGAGCTGGATCTGAAGTGAAGCAGCTGAAACTCGAACAGGCATCCATGTGGGATACTGGGACTGCAGACGGCGGCTTTACAAGCTACTCCACAGCGCTAGCCACCCCCACATTTATTTTAACATAACCCTACTGTGTCACCCATTTTGGGGTATATGATTTGAGTTTATTCCAGAGTCAGTGATGGGTTCATGGGTTTTTATTCACATGCCCCATCTGCATAGTGTTGTCTGCAGTTTCCAAATGTCTTACCTAAAAGAAGTGATTTGACCATATTCTGGCAAGGGCAGGGGAAGCCTGGTCTGGACAGAACCAAGAGAAAATGGAGACAGGGTCCATGGTAGCCTCCCTAGCTTGTGCTGAGTTTGTGTTGTTTGAAAGCAGAGTAACAGACAGGGGGAGAAACAAAGACAGAGATCTTCTATCCTCTGGTTCACTCCCCAAATGGTTGTAAAGGCTGGGGCTGGGTCTTGCCCAAGTCAGCAACCTAAAACTCTTTCAGGGTCTCAAACATGGGTGGCAGGGGCCCATGTTCTGCTGCTTTCCTACATGCATTGGCAGGGAGCTGGATAACAGCTTAAACTGCTGTGCCATGATGGTGATCCTGATGCTGGCTGTCTTAACCGGCATGTTAACCGTCTGGCCAAACACCTGCCCCTCGCATATTATTTTGAAAACCCATTTACACACAGCCCAAGAATAACCAGTGAAGTTAATTGGTATCTGATCAGGGTTAGTCTCCCCTGTGAATACTGCT